GGGGAGAGGGGAAACCTAACCGAAGGGGAAAAGTGGCTCGTAAACGCATCCAAGGTGTTGGCCGGGCGACTTTCTTCATTTGGGGTGAGTTTGGTGTTGTTGTGACAGCTAGTGCCGATTTGAACCTGTGTAGCGGTATATCATAGGGGAGAGGCGGGGGAGGTTGAGCTGGCCATTGTAGGGCGGAGGATTGAACTGACCAAACGCTTTTTCTCGAGGGGGAACCGGTGTACGTGGGTCTTTTGGTTGGACGCCAATGGTATTGTACAATTTGGTCTTGGTACTCTGAGGAGACATTGACTGTTCCTTTTTGTGTTGTGTCAGGAGAACGCCCGATGTTTTCTCGGCAAGCACCAAGATCTACTAAATCTACGTACCTATCGTGCCATCCGCTCTTTTCGCGGATCAAGATCGACTTGCCCTTGCGTCCAATCGCTGTCGCTTCTCCTGTTATTTTATTTTTTTTGTCTTCGCTTCAAATCAAATCAGCGCTCACAGCACTTGTGCCGTTCACTCCGAACTGTCGTCACACAAGAAGGGCCCCTCTTCCTGAGTACCCTACCCACCCCTTCTGTGGTACTTTGCCTTCGATTTTTCAGTCGAGAGGAATGCAGCGCTGTCTTCCCTTTTGTGTACATACACACGAACTGTTGGAGCGCTCCGTAACCTTTCTCTCATGATTGCCTGATGTTTTTGTTTTTTCGATAGATTTCCGGCACTACGTGACCCCACCCTACCTGATGGTGACCACGCTGCGGAACCCCCTGGAGCTGTTCGTGTCGTCCCAGCAGTTCATGCACAAGGCCGAGACGAAGACGTTGGACGACTCCGTGGCGTTCGTGGGTCAAAGCATGAAGAGCCGGCTCGGGTGGGTGGCGCCGGGAAGTTTGTTGCCGTTGGTTTTTGTTGTTGCTGTGTTGTGTTTTTTGTTGTTTTGTTGTTGCTGTGTTGTTTTTTTGTTGTTGTTGTTGTTGCTGTGTTGTGTTTTTTGTTGTTTTGTTGTTGCTGTGTTGTGTTTTTTGTTGTTTTGTTGTTGCTGTGTTGTGTTTTTTGTTGTTGTTGTTGTTGTTGCTGTGTTGTGTTTTTTGTTGTTTTGTTGCTGTGTTGTGTTGTTTGTTGTTTTGTTAATGCTGTGTTGTGTTTGTTGTTTTGTTGTTGCTGTGTTGTGTTGTTTGTTGTTTTGTTGTTGCTGTGTTGTGTTTTTTGTTGTTTTGCTGTTGCTGCTGCTGTTGCTGCTGCTGTCGCTGCTGCTGCTGTCGTTGCTATTGCTGTTGTCATAGTCATTGTCGCTGCTTCTTTTCTGCTGCTGCTGCTGCTGCTGCTGCTCTATCATTTTCATCTTGTGGTGGTCGTCATCGTCATTACATGTTGCTGTGTTACTTCGCAACGACAATCGTGCACCTTCGTCTCCGAAGCCCATGCACGAATTTTCTCCCAGGCGTGTTCGTTTGGTGGTGGTTTTTATTCCCAAGTTTTTTGTACAGGGCGCTTTTTTTCCAATCTTAACAAATTCTGACTTTTCAGAGGTGCAAATTTGAACCGAACTCGTTCCACATTCTTCCGTCCCAGTAGTTTCCAAGTTTCCCAACTTCCGGAATTTCCTCGGCCGCAAATCGAGGTTGAACGGTCTCTGCGGATTCTGTAGTTTGGAAAGTTGGAAGCGAAATAGCTGCTGCATCAAACGGCCCTGACAATAAAAAAATGACGCAGAGAATGTCTTCTAAAATCATGAAAAAAAAAAAAAATGTGGCAACAGGTGGGCCGACCCAACGGATCTCGCTTTCATCCGAAGATTTTTGGACTCGGAAACGGCCAACAGCTACGACCCGCAAGTTCTGTACAGTGACGAAGAGGTGAGCAGGCAGCTCTGGGTCAGTGAGTGAGCAAGCAACACCGGGTGTAGGACAGGCAAATACGGGTCAGGGAACAAGTAGCGTAAGGTTGCGAGTAACCGCACATGGGGTGCGATCGATGTCCGAAGCGTAATTTTTCCACAACCAAAAGCGTGCGAGCGCCATCAGACGCTTCTCCGGACAGCTCTCGATGAGATATTTCCAAAACCGCCCTCTTCGACAGTGGTAACCTCCTCGTTGTGGAGAAATTACGCTTGGAAACACGCTCGCACCCCTGTGCGCCGACTCGCACCTTACGGTAGCTCGGGTTTTCGCCGCAGGTGCAATGACGTAAGATATCACACCCCCTGGATTGATTTTCGGATCTCGAATTTTTCCACGACGAAGAGGATGTATGAACTCGAAGGAGACGTTGTCGGAAAGCTCTCGACGAGACGGTTCCAACGCCGCCATTTTCGGCACCGTTACGGCTTTTTGCCGCCGCCGAGAAATCGACGTCCAGAATTCGGCACAAGGGAGGTGCGATATCTTGGCGTAGGTTGCATACGACGTCGCACCCGCTGGATCGATTTTCAGAACTCGACTTTTCCACGACGAAGAGGATGTACGGTTTCGATCAATCGAAACGTCATCGGAAAGCTGCCGACGAGATGGTTTAAACGCCGCGAACTTCGGCACCGCCACTCTCCTCGGCTGTGGAGTAATCTTGCTTTGGAAAATCTGTCCAGGTGGTGTGATATATTACGTCACGTACGGTAGTGAGCAAACACCTTTGGGGTCAAGAGTGATTGATGCTTGCACGACAAGCTTCACGATAAGCTTGTTTGGTACCCTTGTTGATTTCATTACGAAGTGATTAATGGTTCTTTTTTTTTCCCTGGTAGCCACGAAGAAGGTTGGAGGACCAACGTCGACTGAAGCGTAAGTTGACTGCTGTGGCGTTGTTGCTGATTGCGGTGGTGATATGCATAGATGGCCGTGCTTTTGTTACATAGCTTGGGTGCACTGTTGTTGTTTCCTCAGCAGCCAGAACACGCGCGTGAATGCCGTGTACATGTGTCGTCTAGTTGGCGCCATCTCGTCGCTGATTGGTCTATTGCCACAAACACCATGTCGTTGATGTCATCTCGTCGCTGATTGGGCTATTGCCTCAAGCAGCATTTTCGTTGACGTCATCTCATCGCTGATTGGGCTATTGCCACAAGCAGCATTTTCGTTGACGTCATCTCGTCGCTGATTGGGCTATCGCCACAAGCAGCATGTTCGTTGACGTCATCTCGTCGCTGATTGGGCTATTGCCACAAGCAGCATTTTCGTTGCCGTCATCTCGTCGCTGATTGGACTATTATTGCCACAAGCAGCATTTTCGTTGACGTCATTTCGTCGCTGATTGGGCTATTGCCACAAGGAGCATTTTCGTTGCCGTCATCTCATCGCTGATTGGGCTATTGCCACAAGCAGCATTTTCGTTGACGTCATCTCATCGCTGATTGGGCTATTGCCACAAGCAGCATTTTCGTTGAAGTCATCTCGTCGCTGATTGGGCTATTGCCACAAGCAGCATGTTCGTTGGCGTCATCTCGTCGCTGATTGGGCTATTGCCACAAGCAGCATGTTCGTTGACGATATCTCGTCGCTGATTGGTCTACAACCACAAGCGTCATATCGTTGACGTCATTTCGTTGCCCATTGTTCGAACTACAGAGAACCATCTCGCCGCTGATCGGTCCAAACTCGAAAGCTTGTTGTGCGACGCCATCCATCCCGCCGCTGATAAAAACGGCCCATAACTTCGAAGCTTTGACGTATTCTCGCCGCCGCTCGTTGGTCTATTACTATTGACGTATTCTCGCCGCCGCTCATTGGTCTATTACTATTGACGTCATCTCGCTGCGCTCGTACGTCTTCACAAACACGCCGAAGATGTCGGCGATGGTCCAGACGGCAGTGGACCACCTCAACACGTTTTACGTCGTGGGCGTCGTTGAGCAGTACCAGGGATTCATCGAAGTGTTAAAGCGCACCTTGGACCCTGACGAGTCTCACCCCAAGCTGTGGGCGGCCGCTGTTGGAGTCCTTGACAACGGGTGAGATTAAGTACCGCATATGACGCAAGATAACACATCCCCTGGACCAATTTTCAAAGCTTGATTACTCCACGACGAAGAGGATGCATAAACGAAACAATACGTTGTCGGAAAGCTCTCGACGAGACACCTTCAACGCCACCGTTTTCGGCGCTGTGACTCTTTCTGTTGTTGAAAAGCTTGTCGGAGTACTTAGTACACGGAGCGATTTTTTTTTTGCGATTTTGGATGCAACATTTCTTTTTCATGTATTTTGTTTACCCAAACTGACGAGCAAAATACAAAGCGATTGCGCGGCCGCTGTTGGAGTCAAGGACAACGGGTGCGATAAGAATGAGCTTGTACGGAGAACGTAGACAGGCGATTTTTGTGGCGATTTAGATGCAGCAATTTTGTTTTCCATTCCTTTTTATCTCAAACCACAAGGCAGTTAGGTGGCCGGTGTTAGGAGTCAAGGACAATGGGTGAGATTAAATAAGCTTGTACGAGCACTCGGTAAACAGGCAGTGTGGAGATTTAGATGCGACAATTTTGTTCGTCTTTCTATTTTCCCAACCCTTACAATACTGACTATTAGTAAAATACAAGGGAACTGGGCGGCCGCTGTTGGTGTCGAAGACGACGGATGAGATCCATTGTGGCTTATAGGCGGGTGTTTTGTTCTTGCGATTAGGTACAACAACCTCCAGAGAGACCCGCAGTTGTTTGTTTCCAAGCGTGATCTTCGCACAACGTTCTTCCACTCAATTTTGCGTAAAGCAACCGAAACTGTACTAAAATATAAAAGAAAGATAGACAAGGCAAGACAAGACAATCGCCTGTCGAGTACGCACAAGCCTCGAGATTTGAGGGAAAAAAACGCGGCGTAACTTCCGTGTCGGTGGGACCGTTACGCCAACCCACGTGGATCCTTGTTCAACGTGCATGCAGCGGTGCACGCCACCACTTGACGACTTGAGCGCCACCCTGGGATCTTGACGTCCACAGTAGGATATCACGAGCTGTAACGTAAACGTCGGAATTTCCCCTTCCAGTTTTTCTGGCCCCTACAACTCACTTCCAAAGTCGTGGATGACTTGCATGTTTTTTTTTTTTTTTAGTGAGGAAATTTGGAGGTATCACCGTGCGCTGCTCGGGAATTCGTGGAAAAACAGAACTTTCGCTGACGCTATGGATTCGTTGCTAATCTATCTTAGACTCTTTTCTTCGATAGAGATTGATTCGTTGGGATCTTCATAAGTCGCGAGGGAAGGGATTACTGTACCCTTCTCGCGATAAAATATCTCAGGCAGGAACCGCAGGGGGGGGTCCAACCTCCCCCTTCTATGTGACCCCGGTTGGGTCGTCTAGCTGGTAGAAGTGGAGGATAGGGGCCGGAGGGGCAAAAGACAGAGTCCAATGATGGGAGACAAAAAAAAAATAACTGACGAAAGTTAAAATGCCCCGTTGCTCTTGTTGTATTAGCTCCCCGGTGCACTCCGGAGACGTATTGAGCGGCATCGACCCGGATCTGGTGAGAGAGTTCAACGCGACTGCGTTGGCGCGGCAGTGGCAGGTGAGGACTGACTCTCGTAGGCTGTGGACCGCCTTTCGCGGGAGATCAAGTCATTGGGGAAATAGAACAGGGAGGGTTGATGAGTAAGTAGAACAAGGAGGGGGATGAGGAAATAGAACAGGGAGGGGGCACGCAGACCCTATTATTGCCTACAACCCCAACCCTTTACCCAACTTCCTTTATTGTGATCTCAATTCAATGTGTTGACTTAATACAAAACACCCTGCGAAGGCTACTGTAGGCTGTACGTTTCCACCGTAGGTTGCATAAGATATCACACCCTTTGGACCGATTTTCAAAGTTCGATTACTCGGCGACCAAGAAGATGATCGGAATCAAAGGATATGTTTTCGAAAAGCTCTCGACGAGGCGGTTCCAATGCCGCCATTTTCGGCACCATTACTTCTTTTCTTGCCGGGGTTTCGAGCTTTGAAAATCGATCCAGGTTATGTGATGTCTTGTACAACCTACGGTATACGCGTCGTGAATGGGGCAAACGTTGTTGTTGATGTTGTTGTTGTTGTTGTTGTTGTTGTTGTTGTTGTTGTTGTTGTTGTTGTTGTTGTTGTTGTTGTTGTTGTTGTTGTTGTTGTTGTTGTTGTTGCTGTTGCTGTTGCTGTTGCTGTTGGTGTTGTCTCCACATTAAAACGAAGGCGCAATTCATCGCCAACATCTTGGTTTCTTTTTCTTTTCCCTCTTAATACGACACAACGATTCCATCTCCATCCATAGATCTTACTCGATCGCTGCCTACCGTGAGGTTGGGAGTCAGCTAGAGCACAGGGGTGCGAGCGATTTTCAAAGCGTAACTTGTCCACAACCAGGAGGCTACCACTGTCGAAAGCGCAGTTTTGGACATTTTCTCATCGAGAGCTTCCCTGACAAGTATCAGTTGGCGCTTGCACCCTCCTCTGGTTGCTGAGAAATCACGCCTTGAAAATCGATCGCACCCCATGTGCGGTTGCTCGCAACCTTGCGGTACATCTGTTGCGCACGATGACGCCAGGTTATACGACGTCGCCCTGAAGCTGCGGGTCCGTCTGTGTCGTGAAATAGTTCCGAGTATGTTAACCTTCCCCCCGACGCAACGCCTCTATCGAGGGAAACCCACGACGTCACTCTCAAGCTGTAGGACATTAACGCATGTCTCGGAGTATATACCGACCCCCCCCCAAAAAAAAACGAAATGCTTCTCTCGGTGTAAAGCGGCGATGACGGCGATAGGCTTCCGACGTCGCTCTCAAGCTGTAGGACATTAACGCATAACGCAACCCATATCGCATGTCTCGGAGTATATACCAACCCCCCCACGCCCCAAAATATTTGCTTATCTCGATGTTATCCCACAATGATGACGACGACAGGTTTACGACGTCGCCCTCAAGCTGTGGGACAGTAGGTGTCGGGAGATACTTCCCCCGGAAGACCACGAGGCCCTATGCTCGGTGCCATCCCACAGATGATGAGTGGACTACGCCTGCTGTGCCGATTGGTCCCCCAATGGTGACGAGATTGGTTGCCGATTGGTCACTCGATAGTGCCGATTGGTCCCCCAATGGTGACGACATTGGTTACCGACTGGTCACTAGATAGTGCCGATGAGTTCCTAAGTAGTGCCGACATTGGTCACTTCGTTGTTCCGAGTGGTCCCGGAAAAGTGCCGAGCTTGGTCACTTCGACGTGCCGATTGGTCACTCAATGGTGCCGAGATCGGTCTTCATAGTGACGATTTGGTCACTAAATGTTGACGAGATTGGTACGCCGGTTGGTCCCTGAATAGTACGGAGGTTGGTCGCTCGGTCGTGCCGGTTGGTGTCTCAATCGTGCCGCGTGCCAGGTGTAGTGCCGGAGAAATACCGTGAAACATTTGGAATATTATATGGTATTATATATGGTATCCCGTTCTTGCTGTCGGGTGCCCGGTTTACGTGCCGGCGACCGTAGAGGATGGAGGAGCATTACGGCACTTTTTAGTAAGCAGACCCCCACCCTATAACGGCCGAAGCCCTTTCGCGATAACCACCGCAAGGTATCGAGACCGCTCTTTTGGGGTGCTTGTAAACGTGAAGGAGGGTAAAATGGCGCCAGAATAGATTGGCACTACATACATATCCACTTTTGCCAAGTGAAGGATGTGTGGGTCTCTTCCCCCCCTGTTTTTTTTACATAGACACTTGTTTTTTTCCGTTTTATTTTTCTATGTCTACGACACCTGTTTTTGATTTTTTTTCCACGTTTCGGTATGTTGTTGAGGCTTGTAGGGAATAGGCCATGATTGCGGGAGAGTAGTATTGTTTCGTTTTGTGCTTTTCTCGGTCTCTTGGCCAACTTGAAGGGAGTAGGCCGTGCATACGGGATAATGTTTTCGTTTTTAGGGGAGGATTCTCGTCCCTTGACCTATCTACGTGAGCGATGCTTTCATTCTTTTCCTATTTTGTCCTGCGAAGAGGAACAATGAGGAAATATCCTTTTCAAAACGCCGTCGTCGTCGGGCGTGAAAAATTGTGTAGAGTTTTTGTCTTGGTCTACACTGCAACCTATCGTCGCCGCCTGTTTGGGCATAGAGTGGGATGTGAATCCCACCTCGTGTGACAGCTACGCCTCGAGATTCAAACCCACCCCCTCCGTCTATCGTGTCATGGGTGAAGCGGACAACAGCTGTATGATTTTTGGGTTTGGGGTGTTGATTGTTTCTATTTTTGGTGTTTTTTATTTTGCCAGGTTTCCGAGCGCAATGTGTAAAGGTTGAAGGGTTTCTACGAGCGAAGCCGCTGGGGATTGAGTTTTGTAGCAGCTCGTTCGAGTCATTTTATTTTGCCGGTGAGGACTGTTCCGCGGATCGTTTCTTTGGCTTGGTGGCTTTGCAATGCTTCGCTGCTGCTGGCTGCTGTTCGGTCTTGAGAAGAATGTTTGCATTTTGTAGTTTTTTCAGTACTTGAACGTCGTTGTCTTCTGTTTCTCTCACTTTGGAAGCGTTGTAGTGTAGTCAACGTACATCTGTTTTATTCTACAGGCGTAGTTCACCGTCGTTATGTGGCGTGTGGTGCGCACTCACTCTGTGGAAGGCACAACAACCGATCGTTCATTGCCGTTTACTGCTGTGTTACTGTCCTCGTATCTTGTCGTATTTTGACGTGTGTTTTTCTTGTTGCTTGTGTTTTGTTTTTGTTCATGGCGCAGAGTTATCTTGTTTGCCCGGGGCCGTCCTTTTGATTAGAACTCTCTCCGGTTTCTTCCGTGACGCCTATCTGAGCCTGCGAATATGGCAGGTATTCCATCCGCGTCGGTTGGACCTATTCGGAACGGATGGTATTGTCAGCATAACGAGGTGTTCCGAGAGGGGGAGACACATCTGGACAAGAAAGACGTGTTAAGTTGAGTTTCTTGTATTGGCGAGTCCGGTGGTTTTCATTTCGTGTTTTGAAATGGGGGGGGCGGGGGGCATGGTAGCTGGCATATGGGGAAGAGGAGCTAGCTGTTCACGACGTACCGGCCAGCTGTGGGTGTAGTGCTTGCTGTCAGGGGCGTCCAAGGCATGGGGAACGGAGTGACCGTTCGTGTTGTTACGACGACCAGGTATTACTGTAGTGGCCTCCATGGCATGGGGAACGGAGTGACCGTTCATGTTGTTACGACGACCAGGTATTACTGTAGTGGCCTCCATGGCATGGGGAACGGAGTGACCGTTCATATGTTGTTACGACGACCAGGTATTACTGTAGTGGCCTCCATAGCATGGGGAACGGAGTGACCGTTCATATGTTGTTACGACGACCAGGTATTACTGTAGTGGCCTCCATGGCATGGGGAAGGGAGTGGCCGTACAGCTGTTGCTGACGTACGCCGCTGCTGTCGGTGTCGCGCTTGCCATCATTTCAGCCAGGCAGAGACGTATGGCTGCGGTCCCTGCCTCGTCCCCTTTGGAGCGGTTCCACCACGCGCAACCGTCGCCGCGTCTACTGCTGCTGTCGGTTCGTGAAATGCGTACGTATCCACACAGAAGAGATCCCTGTATAGTGCCGGTTGACTAGGGCCGGTACCCGGCATACAGTAGTGCCAGTCCTTTCGGCGGGCACACACTGAATTTCCGAACCTCTGAATAGTACCGGTCCGGTATTATATTGGGCCGGTGAAGTGTTGGGCACTTACCGGCACCAGACAAGGACCGCTTTTGTAGTCGTTACTGGAGGTGTGCATCACAGGGGAATGTGTTGGCTCCGGGGTCGGGTGCGCTTGTTATCGTCGTGCCGCATGTTAGAGCGTACAGTGCGTTCTGGGCCGCGTGCTGCTGCTGCTGCTGCTGCTGCTGCTGCTGCTGTGTGTGGTAAAATAGTGGGTGGCGCATGGTGCATGCGCGGCATGCGGGAAAACTTGCGCAGCTTGCCAGCACCCAATTCGGCTTCATTTCAGGCGTATGAATCCACCCAAAACATCACGAAGCCGCAGCGTTTGGCTTGGCTTTTTCCTGCGCGGGGGGTTCGGCAGACAGAGTTCGCGAAGACTATTCATGTATTGTGCATTTGTGCCCTAGGGGAAGTACAATATGGCACCAGTTTCGTTTTACCGGAATCTATATTGTGAGTCAGTCGATTGGAGGTGTTTGTGCCGTTCAATTCTGAATTGTCCGTGTTCGCGCCTGTGCGATTTAATATTATGAATAGTCTTACACTACTTGAACGTTGCCGCGTCCAGTGTAATCATCCATCATCCTGCGTGACCCCGGCAGGTCGGTGCGCTGTGGACTTGGCATCTAACTCTGGAGTCTCATCTACGGAGACAGCACGTTCCGTTGAATGGATATCTTGCGGGATGCCTGTGCATACCGTATATGACACAAGATACCATGCCCCCTGGACCGGTTTTCAAAGCTCGATTACTCCACGACGAAGAGGATGCATTGACGAAACGATATGCTTCCGGAGAGCTCTTGACCAGACGGCTTCAAACGTCGCCATTTTCAGCGCTGCGCCCCTTCCTGCTGTTGATAAATTGAGATTTGAAAGTCGGTCCAGGGGGTGTGTTATCTTGCGTCATATATGGTGCCCTCAATGAGAATGGCATTCCTACGGGGCCCTTTGTATCTTTGCTTGGGAGTGCTCGTGCAGAGTCTCTGTGATTAACGCTTTTCAGTGTGTAGCTTTCGCGAGGAGGATATTTCGTCGGCGTGGGATGAATCTCGGTGATGATGCCGGCCGTACGCACCTACTACTGTACCTCACAATCGGTTGCAAGCTGTTGTGATGGCCGGAACGAGGGAGGGATCCGAACAGAGCAATCCATAGACCACTTGCAACAGAACCCCCCGCACCAAAAAAAAAGCTCTGGGCGGAGGGGGGGTGGTACAAACAAACAAAAATCCGCCCAGAGCTTTTTTTTTGCCAATACGAAATTTGAATCGCAAATTAAGGGGGAACCGCCNAACAGATTCGCTGATATTTTATGTTTTTGTCTGTTCTTCCTCGCGGCTTCTGGTCAAAACCATTCAATCAGTGACCACTGTTTTGAGTAAACGGCACAAACGCTGTGAGTGCTGATTTGAAGTGCACTGCAGAGAAGAAAACAACATACACCAGTATCAACCTTTCAATGGTAAGGGGTTAGTTGTGTACAGGAGATGCAACCCGTACCAGTTGGAGGGACAGTCAGTGCGGATGTTCGAAGGTACTTAGCAGAGGTAAGACTGGACGAACGATATAATTTGTGAAGACAACGACACCACCACGTGGCGATGGAACTCAAAATTAACTTTTCCCCACGATATCCTAGGACCGCTTCGCCCAAACCCTGACCCTATAAATACCTCCACCGAGGGGATCAACAACTACTACACGGACAAGGCGAGGAGGAGAAGTGCCCTTGATAACTCGACCATTGTCTTCGACAATGTGCCATTCTTTCCTTGGTCAGCGCATTGTAGGCGTGCCCTATCTGCTAAGATCAACCCGACTGCTTGATCGAAGAACCCTAAGAAGGCGCTTCTGCATCATGGAGGATGGGCGGCGGGGTTATCGTTCCTCATCGCCCTTGTCGTCGTCGCTGGCATCGTCGTCGCTGGCGTCATCCTCCTCGCTGGAGCTAGAGCTGCTGCTCTCGCGTTCGCTCTCCGAACTGCTGCTGCTGCTGCTGCTGCAATCACCGTCCTCTCCCTCGGAGGATGTCGCGTCCATCGGGGCCAGACCCTGATGATTCGGCGGGAAACAAGCAGCGACGGCGCCATGTGATGATCGACAGACACGCATACATGCGCACGCCAACGCTGCTGTATGTGCTGATGGTTAACTAACACTCTCATTGATCTTTTTTCGCTCACTATTTTTTTTGGGGGTAAGTCAGCCTTTGACCACGAGAATCGACCCCGTCACATGTTAGACTAGTACGGACAGAATAAGTTACTGGGTAGAGCGAACGGAAAGGTTTTTAATGTGAAGACAACAACAACAACAACAACAACAACAACAACAACAACAACAACATAATGTGGAAAAGAACGATTATTTGGCAATTAAGGTTAACAGTCGGGGTTCCGGTACAAGGGGGTACCTCACAAGAGGGGGCTCCGATATCAGAGGTTCCAAAACGGTTGTAACGTACTCGACCCTCCATGGCATGATAGTTGGGTGCCCTCTTATTCCGGTATAAGAGCGGCCTCCGATGTTGGAAGAGGGTCGAGGGCCTTCGTCACGCCACCCTCTCATGTCATATCGGAGCCCCGACAGCACAAGCAATTAGCAAAAAAACAAACCAGAAGGTGGTTACGCCACAACGAGGAAGCAATTGACGAGTACCACATACCACAAAGGCATCCAACTCCCAAAAAAGGCCTCTCGAGCACCGCTTAGACCCATCACCAACGGCGCCTGTACCTAAGAGTTGTAGCGTTCGAGAGGAGAGCATTTGTAGCCCGCACCTCACCCTGTCCATGTTGTATTCACTCCCTTACCCTCGCCACACAGTAGAAGCACCTGTTTATAGGAATTGTCTCACCGTTGCTTTCAATGGTTCCGCGGGTGTTCAACGGCTTTTTCAGCCTTATCCGGCTCTACCAGATATCAACGGCTTTTCCAGCCTTCAACGGTTCTATCAGCTTGCAGCGGCCCTACCAACCAATGCTCTCTCTCTCTCTCTCTCTCTCTCTCTCTCTCTCTCTCTCNATGCAGCGCTCTCCACATGCGACTCGCCGAATACCTCACGGCACTTCGTGCTTGGTGATGTGAGAGCCTGGTCCGGCGAAAACCCGGCATGCTCTGTCCCGGCTATGTGGGCACGGCGAGGTCCATGGTCTAACGACAACGGCATGCACGGCTATGAATACACACGCACACATACCTCCTTCACAGTCAAGGACGCGGTAGCCGGTACGGGCGCTGCCATCGCCCTCTCCAGCTCCCCGATCACTTGAGAAGGGTTTTCGGCAATATCATCGTTGGACTCCAGGTCTGCCACCAGGGTCGGGAACCTCTCGGTGGTCTCCTTGCCGTCAAGGGTAACGTAAACCGTCGGGTGCTCGATCACCGTCTGAGGAGGAATCGTTGCGTTATGGCATGGTAGGATTTAGAGTAACGTAGCCTATTTATCGTTATTGTATGCCTGGTAGGATTATTGTGCAATTGCGAAGGCTATAAATCGCTGTAGTCGCCGGGGGGGGGGGGGGGGGGGGGGGGGGACGCGG